AGGGGGACCATGGTGGGGGGTGGCAGGGACATGGGGAGGACATGGGATGTTGGGGACACTTGGCAGAGGGACACAGGGCTGGAGAGGACACCAGGGGACACACAAAGGGATGTCCTTGATTTGGGGAGGTGACATAGGGGTGACACTGATGTCCCCACGGGGGGTGTAGGGGGGCTGTTGGGGGCTCTCAGGGGGTGCTGGGGGGGTCTCTGTGGTGGCAGAGGGACACCAGGGGTGGCAGTGACACCGTGTCCCTGTGTCACCCCCAGGCAGGACCCAGGAGGACGCCCCCACTTTGAGGAGGTGCTCGGAACAGGGGGGGACCCTGAGGACTCCAACCCCCAGCAGGATGGAGGTGACGGTGAGGGGGGGTGGGGAGGTCCCTGGGGAGTTCTGGGGGGTTTGGGGTCCTTTGGGGGACCATGTGGGAACTGGGGGTGCCCAGGGGGGTCCGCTGTGGGTGCTGGGGGGGAATTTGGGGTCCTGGGGACATCACCCACGGGTGCTGGGGGGATGCTGGGGGTGCAGAGGAGGAGCTGGGGGTGCTGGGGGGTCTTCTCAGTTGTTTTCTGGGGGGTCACTGACCTTGTCCCTCCCTCCAGGGCTGCGGCAGCGCCGGGGAGCCCCAGAGAAAGGGGGGGCCCCCGCCCGGCCCCCCCCAGACCCCCTGGGCTGGTTCGGGGTGCTGGTGCCCCCCAGTCTGCGGCAGGCGCAGGGCAGCTTCCAGAGGGGTGAGAACGGGGGCCTGGGACTGGGGGGTGCCTGGGGGGGCCCCCAAAACCAGGGGGGATCTGGGGGGGGTCCCTGAACTCTGGGGGGAACTGGAGGATCCGAACCAGAGGGGTCCCCCAAAGCAGGGGGAGGGTCCCCAAACCACGGGGGTCCCAAATCGGGGGTGTCCCCAAAGAGCAGGGGATCAACCAAAACTGGGAAGGGCCTGAAGGTCATGACCCCGTGTGACCCCTCTGGCCCCAGGGGTGACTCTGGCCGTGGAGGTGGCCGAGCTCCAGGGCACCGTGGACGCCGTGGCCGCGCGGTACCGGCACCTCCTGCGGCAGAAACGGCTCCTGGCCGGGGACAGAGGGGACACAGAGACCCCCAGGGACAGCAGCTCCTCAGGAACCCCGGGGGACACTGAGACCACGGGGATGCCAAGTGACCTCAAGACCCGTGGGGACACTGAGAGTGGCACAGTGACCACGGGGGACACGGGGACCGCGTGACACGGACACTGAGGGCACCAGGGACGCTCTGCAGGTGACACGGGGGACACAGAGGAGCACAGGTGGCACCACAGGGACACAGGTAACGTGCTGACCTTCCACAGGTGACACGGAACCTTCCCGGGTGATGCAGCACCTGCCTGTGGGTGACACTGAGCCCCCCGAGGACCCTGCAGGTGACACTGAGACCCACTCGTGGGTGACAACTGAGCCCCCAAGGACCCTGTGGGTGACACTGAGCTCCAGCAGTGGGTGGTGGTCCTGTCATCACCCTCGTGACAGGACCACCCCAGGGCCCCCGTGTCTCCCCCAATAAAGCTGTTGTGGTGCCACCAGCGCTGTGTCCCCTCTGTCCCCAATGTGCCACCATCTTCGTGCACCCATGGCACCTGGCAGCCATGTTGGTCCCATGTGACCCCACCCCTGCCCCACCCAATCAGCGGCAGCCCCTTTGCCAACGTCTATGTTTATTGGGCGGGGCCCTCGCCCCGCCCCCAGGCCCCGCCCCCGGTGGGCGGGACCGACACAACAACGACTATGGGGAGGGGTGGGGTGCGGGGGTGTGGTCTGTGGGGGCGTGGCCGGGGCGAGGCGCCCCCTAGCGGATGGTGTAGCGCACGTAGGGCACCTCGACGTCGGCGTCCTTCTCGTCGTTGCAGCAGAGCTCGAACACCAGCGCCTTGACGTGGCGGCCCAGCTTCTTCTTGGACACCCGGGTCACGATCTCCGTCATCCTGGGGGCAAAGCGAGGTCACGGGGGGGACGTGGGGGTCGGGGGGGGCCCGGTCCTGGGGATCAGCACCCAGAGGGAATGCAGCCATGGCCTGTCCCCACCCCTGGGATCTATCCTCCTCTTTGGTACCCTGTCCCTCTCCCACAAGATACGTTCCTACCCCTGGGATGTCTCTCAAACCTCATGTCCTGTCCCCTTCCCAGACCCTGTCCCCCTCCCCAGCCCCTGTCCCCCTCCCCAGGACGTGTCCCCCTCCCCAGGATGTGTCCCCCTGGCCCTACGGTTGGTCGTGGCGCTCGCTCAGCTTCGCCGGCGGCATGAAGAAGGAGTAGAGCATGGACACGCCCTGGGACAGCATCGTGATCTCCAGCCGGTGCTCCTTCTGGAGGGGGACACGCAGGGGGCTCAGCGGGGCACAGGCACCCACGACCGCCCTGCCCCCTGCCCAGTCCCCCCAGTCCCTCCCAATACCTTGAAGTAGGCGAGGAACTGGCGCAGGGTCATCTCCTGCCCGTCGGGCTGCAGCCCCTGCACCTCGAACCGGTCCCACAGCGTCCACTCCACCTCGTAGTACTGGGGGGGCACAGCAGGGGGGGCAGAGCCGTGGGGGGGGGGGTGTCAGCAGGTCTGACCCACAGAGCCATGGCTGGGCACAAACACCCACAGGGGCAACGGGGGGGCTTGGGGAGTCACTAAGACCATGGGGTGAGTTGGGGCTCCTGTAGGTTCCCCCCCACCCCGTGGGGTCAGGGAGCCTTGGGGCAGCAGCTCAGCCCAACCGAGACCTCAAATCCCCTCCAGAAGTGACCCCCCCGAGCCCCACCTTGTTGCGGGGGCAGGCGAGGGGCTCGGAGAAGCCGACGAAGGGCAGTGCCAGGTTGAGGAAGGCGTTTTTGTAGGAGCTGAGCCGGCGGTGCCCCTGCACCAGCTTGTAGAGCTCCAGGCAGGCCAGGCCCACCACGGCCGCCGTCGTCGTGGCGATGGCCGGGATGATCTTCCCCGCGATCAGTTTGCTCTGGGGGCGGGAGGGGCCCGTAGGGTGAGGGGGGGCAACGGCCCCACTGATCCCCCCACAGGGGTCTGCAGGCCCCCAGGGCTCCACAGTCCCAACAGGCCCCGTGTGAGCCCTTGACTCACCCATGTGTGACCCACACCCAGTAACAGCCCTGGTAACGCCCCACAGAACCCACCTACAGCACCCATAGGACCCCCCCAGCACCCACAACCCCCATAACAACCCTAAACACCCCCCCATAGCACCCCT